CAGCAGATCAAGTGGATATCTGAGTACTCTGAGTATTTCATGACGTTCGAGCGAGATAAAGAGCTGTTGGAATCTATGACACGCGATATTGCAAATTACTTTATCGGACAAAGTAAAGCATACCGTCAAGTGTATGACTTGGAGTTAGCCTTCTATTATCTTAAACAGGCTACGGAGATATGGTATCAGTATTACAACATGGAAAAAGACACTTTTATGAATTCACCTACGATGCGTACAGAGACATATAAAATTAATGAAATTAATAAATTAATCAAAGAAACAATAGGCTTAGTGTCTGATAATGGTCAAAACAATGCCATCGAAAACGAACCACAAGCAATGGAAGTTGATGGAGAAAGTCTCGTAATTATTGAGATTCTATATTTACATACTGACAGAGCCCCAGCAGACGCGCAAACTGTCAGCACTATTGATTTAATATTCGCAGGACTTGACGCAGCGAAATATCCCATCATAAAGTTGAATCAAGTCGAACAATGTTTTAACCACATACGGACGAGACAAACCCGAAGAATAGGTTTAGTTCTATTACATGGGATAGGGAGAGACGAAGTAACGGTCTTAAGACAGTTCGCCAATGTTGACTTTATATTTCAACTGGATGCAAAACTCCCATGGCTAAAAAAACACGCATTAACTTGTTCTTCATCATCGAAATTATTGATCATCCAACGACTTTGCGTGTGTCATGAACTACTCCATTCTGAGGTGAACTTTTGTGCTGCTTTGAACGAATCTACGGAATTGTCAGCGCAAGAATTTACTCAAGACAATCGTTCGCTAGTGCTATTTCAACTATTGATAGAAATTTTACTTCGTACTCCCATTACAGAAAGATGCAAAAATGATTTTATCGAATTGGCTCTCGAGCAATATTCCAGTAACCCTGCAGATAGAAATGTCATAAGTTCATTTGCCTCCAAATTCAAACCTAACGGAGCAATTATGTGGTACACGATGAATTCGTTTGTTTATCGTACATTAAATCGAGCGCTTAGAGACAATAACCTTCAATCAATGTACAAGAGCCGATATTTCATTTGTCATTTGTATGACGAAATAAAAAAACGTTATACCGAAACTTGCGCGTTTATGAATTCTCAGATCTCTGTTTATCGAGGACGAACAATGTCTTCTGATGAGTTACAAATGCTACGGGCGAACACAAGCAAAGTCATTACTACAAAATGTTTCTTGTCAGCAACGTTCGACCAAGAAGTGGCCGTTGCTTTCTCAGGAATGGAAACAAAAGCAGCCAACGGTATTTCTGTAATCTTTCGTCTAATCATCGATGCGTTTACAAATGGATCAATATCATTTGCACCGATTCAGAACATAAGCGCAATGAAAGATGAAGCAGAAGTTCTGATTCTACCTGGAACAGTATTTCAAGTCAAAAGTGTTGTTGAAAGAGAAGTACGTTTACACGCTCAGTCGAAGATCAATCTTAAACTAATCTATTTTCAGACAAATGCGTTTGATGTAGTATTAATCCATACTCTTGAACAACAGCAGCTTGTAGAAAAGATTCGCCATTCGAAAAGTATCTATTTAGACAGAGCACGAACAGTCACATCATTCGATGATTTCGAAGCATTGGTTAAAGAGGCTTCAAGTGAAATAAAGGAGCAGGAACTGCTGCTAATACCTGCGATTCACAATAAAAATGAAAGTAAGTAGAGAAGGATGACAGCACAGTTAGCTCCCAATTGTTTTGTCTCGTAACATTTCGTTTCTCTATAATTTGTAGAACGCCTCACTAAAAAGTATTCGTCGTCATTATCAATTTCCAGTGTAACATCGAAGCGTTTATTGAAAAATGTGTTGGAACTTCGATCGTCGAATACTCGTAGTGATGGTTCGATTATATTCATTGTTGATGAGACTCCCTTTGATGACGATAATGAGGATAGTGATTTGTTACTATCCGATAGTATTATTTGCCGCTTACTTCCACGTCAAAATATTTATAATCAATACGCTTTTAGAATTAAAATAAATATATCATCATCATATCCATTTTCCCCACCAACAGTGCGTTTTCTTACTCCCATTTATCATCCAAATGTGGAGCAAAATGGTAAGTGACACTCGATCACCATACACTGATTCTATTCCAAATTTTTCTATAGGAAATGTTTGTTTGGATATTCTTCAAAACAGTGAATCATGGAAGTTTAATACGTCATTGGCCACTGTTTTAATCTCTCTGGTCGACCTCATCGATTCTCCTAATATAGACGAAGCAGTGCGTATGAGTAAGTCTTGCAAAATGCCTTGTTTTTATATATTTAGATTTTCATCTATGGTTCATTTAGATATAGCCGTAGAATACATACAAGATAGAGCTGAATTCAATCGTAAAGCATTAGTAATGGCGAAAAAACACGCTCTACCTCGATAATTGACAAAGTATTTATGCGTATCAGTAGGTAACCGATCGAATGCGTCATTTAACGTGTCATCTACATATGTAATGCAGATATTGTTCGTTTTTTAATAAATATGTCAGCAGTTCATACTTCACGATCTTTAGTACTAAAAAGTCGTCAGATAATTCTCGTAAAAACGGACGATGAACGAGTAGTGTAGAAGTCGTTAACTCGATTCGAGTATTAAAACTTCCTTCGAATTCTAAATCTTCTACTTTATAACTCGAAGCTTCGAGTTTTCCGCTTAGCAACTCGTAAGTGATTGATCATAAATCCTGGAGTGACTCATTATTAACTATTAGGTAACTGTTGAATAAATATTAACCAACCGATCACTTATTATCAATCAACGGGCTATCAAGTAATCGGCATCTCACTATTAAATACTGCTTAATCATTCATTCACTATATGACCATGAATTATCAGCCAACTAATCGTAACAAATCCCGTTCACATTGACCCTGAGCATGCTGTTGCCAGCTGCACCCTCTCCAACACCCTCACTCTCACATCCTCACCCACACCCTCACACCCTCAAGAATTTTGTAATATTTCTTGGAACTGCTGTCAAAACTGCGAAAAATTTATTTTACGGAATATAAGATCCGAAAGTCAAATGGTCCCAAAAGTTCGTATAGTGCTAACTCACTTCTTCGCTGGCAGTCTCACTGTCACACCCTCATCCTGAAAGAGCATTTTACCGAGTTGGCTACTCACATAAGAACACTCAGAAATGAAAAAAAAAGTTCGTTGTTATCGAAATTGTTTTTTTTTAACTTGAGTGGCTTTGCCAATCACCTCCATCCATTGCAAAGAAGTGCGACGATGCGAGTGAGAGACTTGCACAACACATGATTAAATGCGTTTTGACAAAAAAAAACAACTTATGAAACAGTAGCAATGTCATGATTTACTTGTACTTTTAAGTTAGCAACAGAGACAGTATTAAAAGCAAAGTAGAAGTGTGTATATTCGTTATTATTCACATTCACTCATTTCATCATGACTATTTTTTTGAAACTGATCGTGTTCGCTCATGTCCTGTTATGGATCCATATAGGTATGTACAAACATGAAGACAATTGATCCCGTCTCATTCGATCTAGCCTGTATTTGTAGTGGAGTGCACATCGTACTATGTGATGAAATCCGGTAAAGATACTAATGCGGGAACAAGTCCATCGACTGCTTGGCTCACGATACAAAAGGCAGCCAATTCAGCTACAGCCGGTTCAACTGTCTACACTGGCCCTGGAGTTTATTATGAAACAGTTACAATTAATGTACAAGGTAACGCTAACAATGGATTTATCACATTTACCAGTTATATGCTGAACAATCAATCTGTTATTTCTGGTAAACAAGCCAAAACACAGTCGGCTGACGGTGCATTCAATTTAATCTACATACAAGACAAAAGTTATCTGCGTATCATGAATCTTGAATTAAAAGATTTGAATTCTAGTGATTGTAGCGGTGTAAGAGTTGTCGGTGCAGGAACAAATGTTGGTAAGTATGGTCACTTGTTGCAATAGTATCGACAGAAATTACTTGCTCGTTTGAAGAGCTTCGCAATCTACTCATCCATGATATTCGTGGCGGTGGAATGTCAGGCGGTGCTGTTGCGATATCTGTCTACAATAAAAATAAGGCCAATAGTCGTCGGCAATTGATTATTGACAATTGTACATTGCACGATTGTGAGCCAGCCTGGAGCGAAGCTTTGACATTGAGCGGCAATATTGAACAATTTCAAGTGACTAATAATCGAATATACAACATGAACAACATTGGAATCGATCTTGCCGGTATGTACTCGATTAGTTTTCGCGCCTTGTGAATGTTTGATTTTTATTGTATAGGTGGCTGGAGTTGGGTGAATGGTTTAAGTGTGCACTCAGGACTTTGCGCTAACAATACTGTATGGAATATTCATTCACCTGTGGATTCGAGCGCAGCAGGCATCTATGTCGATGGCGGATCAAATATCACATTACAATTCAATGAAGTCTATAATTCTGATGCTGGATTAGAAGTAGGTTCAGAAAACAAGGGTCATATAGCTGCACAAATGATTGTTAGACAAAATTATCTTCATAATAATACTTATTGGGGACTCGGTTTCGGTGGATACGACGTTAAGTAAGCTATTTGTTCATTAATACCATTATAAAATAAGTATGTGAATAATATTAAGTCGTGGTCGTGTCATCAATAGTTTATTTGAAAATAATCGCTTGGAGTATAACGATGTTGCGCGTTCAGGTAGTGGGGAAATTGTTGTTGCATTTGGTTCTGGTAATACGGTACTCCGTAATATTGTCAAGCCAAATGAACAGAATTTAGTTCTTACCGAAAGCAAGGGTGCAGGCTTGAAAGATACATTTGACTATCAGATGTATTATCCGTACGGGCAAGGTGCAACACAAAGCGACCTCATTTTTTATTGGGAAAATAAAGAATATGATGGATTGAGTATATTTCAGAGCAAGACTAAACAAGAAATGCATGCAAAAGTCTACACCAGTTAGTATTTTGGCCAAACAAAAACTCTTTCCCATACTTAATCTTTTCCTATGATTGAATCAATAAAAACGTTCCTTCAAAATGATGCATTTTTCTCGTAAATGATGTGAATCTGAATGTATACTTAAGTCTAATATTGTGTACAGAGGAATTATGATGCGTCGTGAACGATTAGTTGTTAAGGAGAGAATTTGGGTATTTGATTCCTCTAAGAAACAGAATACAGTATGTGTTCCACGACGAGAATGAACACTTGAAAATCAATGCGGGGAGAAAAATAACACAACATACATGATTACACCGAACATTTTTTTTTTTTTTTATTTGCAATAACTGATGACCTCTAGGGTCCTTACAGTACAATGGTCACATTTTAGGGGCAAGAAAAGGGAGTTGTAGAACCAATAAGAAAACAGAGACAATATAGAGAATGGAGAGACTCATTTGAAACCGACAAAATAATAAAAAAAAGAGAAGTAACAACAAACATCAAATTAGGACATTCCAACGATGTGAGACCAGAACAAGAACACGAACGCGAACCGTCATTCTACTGATGCGCAGACGAAGAAGGCAGAGGTAAGAATTCGCTTCTATAAGAAAGAAATACATAGAGAGAGAGAGGAGGTCTCCTCCGAGATGAGGAGGAGGGGAGGAGAGAGAGAGGAGGAGAGAGAGGAGGTCTCCTCCTCAAAGGTGAAGAGAAGAGAAGAGTAGGAGAGACAGAGAGGGAGGGAGAGACAGAGACAGAGACAGAGACAGAGACAGAGACAGAGACAGAGAGACAGACAGACAGACAGAGAGGCATAAGAAATAAGGACGGGAAGAATGAAGAGAAGAAAGACCAAAAGGAAAAGAAAAAAAGATACCGAGAGGAATAAGAAGAAGGATTGCTAGAACGTTTCAGGGAAATCGGCTAGTGTTGAGATATCCTCGATATCGTAGTCTGGTAGCGAGCTATACATTGGTGTTTCGTGGCACCATCGCACTACTTTTTCGATCACGGACACATGTTCTACAAATCTTTTCGACACGCGGATTTGTGTTATTTTCATTTCTTTATTTCTCCACATTTCGCGAAATGTGTTGAGGTTCGCTTGTTCGAGGAGAAGTTCGCCATCTTTACTTTCAGAGAGGGCTATGAAATATTTCTCCCAATATTTTTTACATCTATCAACAAGAGATATTTCGTTCGATATGTAGGCGAACATGTTATCATTCCATTGCATGGAGAACATTACTCTTTTTAAGCAAGTAAAATAGAAGTGCGCAAGATCTTGTTGTTGTATTTCTGTAAAAAGAGGAAAAAAAGGAAAGAGCCATGTAAATAAGGGGAGAACAAACGTGAGGAAAAGCGTTTTTCTAAGATGTAGCGATGTTGTACCGTCTATGCGGCTTGCGATTATCATTCCTACTTTTTGTCTAATCTTGATCTTAGCATTCACGATCATAGTTCCGAATCCTAACTTCGGAGTGATCCAGTAGCCTAAATACTTGAATTTTTTACTCCATTGAATTACTCCATTAGATGACGATATATCGAACTTAGGTGCCCCGACTGCTCTCGCTGACCACAAACCTTCCGTTTTTGCAAAATTGATTGGTTGTGATGTTAGAATAGAATAGTATTCAAGGTTTTCGAGGAACTTTTGGAGCTTTCTTTCGAGCTCGATACACTGTAGCGTATATTTCATACCAATACTGCCTGCTACGATTGCGGCTAGGTCATCTGCAAAGAAATGACTTAGACAGCCACCTAAGAAATCACCCATATCCGCATGATATGCAATAAACAGCGTCGGTGAGAAGATTGATCCTTGAGGACAACCTTTGTAGATATTAAACCAACGGGATCTAATCCCTTCGATTTCAATGTATGCTCTACGTTTCGTTAGCCATGCGTATATCCAAGATAGGTAGTCTTTTGGGATATTCATTTTTCTTAGTTTACCTATACAACCTTCAAACCAGAGTTGGTCGAAGGCTGCTTTAAAGTCGACGAAAATGGTTGCGATTGGAGAACTGTTTGACATAAGGCTAGCTACTTGTTCAAAGAAAAGGAGCACTCTTGTTTGCAGGCGAAAAGATTCCCTAAAGCCGGATTGGTTGTCCGGTAGAATTCCTCTTCTGAGTAGTACATCATTGAAACGCGTTTGAAATAGTTTTTCGTTAACTTTGAGAAAGACATCGAGAAGCGATATAGGTCTCGTTGAATTGACCTCGCATATATGTTCTTTTTTTGCTAGTAGAAGTATTCGCGAGTCTTTCCATGCGTTCGGAAAGTTTGCGTTTAGAAATGAGTCGTTGAAAATCTCTGTCATCAATGTCCAATATGATAGTGGAAGAAAGTTGAACATATAGTTAGATAATGCATGAGCGTCGCAAGATTTCTTTTTCTTTTTTGCTAGCACAATGTCTAGCACTTCATCCACTGTGGCGAGTGGGATTTTTTCGTTGTAGTTGTCAGCTTCTATTTCAGGAATATCAGTATATGGGTGTGGATAATAGATATTCTGCGGTTTGTTGAAGAAGTTTTCATAGTAATTCGCTGCTATTTCGCACATCTTCTTGCGGTCCTTAATTACGTCGTTGTTTTGTACTATGAAGCCGTGTAGCGATGATGATGCCGATTTCATAGATCGTTTGACTTTGGACCAGAATGAAATTGATCGAGGTGATGATGTGTTTCTGACAGCCAGTGATTCCGCTAGATGATTTGATAGAAATCGTTTAAGTTCAAATTTTGCCGCCTTTCTCCTGTGATATATTGTGTTTCTAAGGTGAGTGTCACCAGAACGTTTTTGTTTAAAGGATAGAGCACGTGTGTGTGACATATAAGCTCTTAAGTTTTTTGGTAGTGCTATTCGGTATTTGTCCAGAGGGAACATAACCGTACAACGTGCAGTCAGTAGAGCTAAAAAAGATGTGTAATCTTCGTACACTTTATTCATTTCGTTTAGATGCCAAATTTTTTCCCACTGTGGAAATACGTATTCACAGAACAATGTAAAGACATTCCAGTGCACGTTCCTAGCAAAAATTGTTTCTTTTTTAGATGTTGGTAACACTGCTAAGATAGGTTTGTGATCGCTTGATGAGTTACCTTCGTATGTTTGAAGGGCTATCGAAAAGCCTGATGTTAGTGCGTAGTCGATTTTTCGCTTTGATCTTTTGGAGGTATGAAGAGCTGTAAAATAAGGCGTTAGAGATAATTTATCAAGCCAGTCTGTGAACAGATCAGCTTTCGCTTTATCCTGTTCAAAATCCACATTGAAGTCGCCGAAAAACACGCATCTTTCTGTTACAAAAGGTGAAAGATGGTCCCACGACCAAGATTTACTATCAGGTGCATATACACCTACTAGCCTAGTGGATTTTTCGTCCAAAATATCAATAGCACATACATTTGGTATGTCGCATTGGATTCGGGAAATTTTGATCTCGTTCCGTATTAGTAGCACGATACCACCATTACTGTTTTCTCCTTTTTGGTATAACAATTTGTACTTATGAAATACTTGTCTACAGTGTATAAGGTCGCAATTACCTGTTTCTAATAGAATGAGTATGTCGAAGTTAAATGAGTTAGCTAATAGAATGACCTTTTGAAGTCTTAAGTCTAAACCTCTAACGTTGAAAGATAGGATGTGATGGGAATTAAGAGTTGATGACGTATCATACACACTATACTGTTTCCATACGTTAAAGCAATCCTTTAGAAGAGGAGAACTTTCCCATTCGAAAAGAATTTCGAAGAGAAGTTTAAAGTCGAAGTGAGAGAGAGAAACTTTAGCATTGTATAAAAAAGTATTACGCGTGTTCAGGGTAAAGGGATGTGTACAAGAGAAAAAAGGAAAAGCATTAACTGAAAGAGGCATTAAAAATCTTTACCTTGTTTACAATTGTTCAATTGAGCACGTAGTCTATTTGCAATCACTTTAAAGTCTGCATCATGTGCGTTGCCGTTTTTATTCGTATTGATGTGGGAGAGGAATTGTAATGTTTCATCCAGCGCGGGAATAATTACTTTTGTAAAAATATTGTCGTGTCTTGTAAGTTTAATTTCATGTTGTATTACGCCTAGTTTGGATTCTTGTTCTCTTTTGACCAGGTCGTCAACTTTTTTCTCTAGGATTTCGTCACTTACGATTTTTGTATTCATGAATTGTTCAAATTTGTCATTTAAAGTACAAATTTTGTCCAGTGATGTTTTAATTTGGTTTATGTTGTTTAATAACACGTCCATTTTATTGTTCATGAGTGCATTGGAGGAGTTTGAGTCAGTAGACCATTGTGGAGCAGTTGTTGGTACGTATCGATGTGAGCTATTCTTGAAAATTGTTGGTCGTTGGGCAGGATTCAAAGGAGGAAAGTCGCAGGTAGATAGATCGTATTGAGGAATGTGTGCATTGGTCAGGCTTGTTGGAGCTAGAAGTTGTTTCGTTAGTTCTGCACGAAATTGTTTCACTGTTGGGCATTTCATATCATTCGACATATGGTCACCATTGCAATGTTTGCATTTTATTTGTGAGCAAGATTCTAGGTGTTGCTTCATGTCAGGAGTTGTATCACCGCATTTTCTGCAAGTTTCATTTTCCTGTTTGCATTGCTTTCGAAAATGACCAATGGCCATACATTTGCTGCAGATTAATACTCTTGCTGGTGCCAAGTATTCATCGACATCATAGGTAAGAGAGTTAATAAATATTTTACCGTTGTTTAGAATTTCGTCTCTTTGCTTGTAGTCCGAGAATTCTAATTTTACCATTTTTATTATTGCTTGGTTCTTGTTCTTCATACGTATGACGTTGCTAATGTTCGAATACGATGTTTTGATTTCGTTGGAGAGTTCTGTGAAATTGATGGAGAGGCTAACATTTTTGATAATTAGAGAAAGCTGTGGAGGAATTGCTGGGGTAGAAGGTCTGCCATAAGCTAGACCTAGAATTGATTGTGGCCAGTTATTTAAGTTCAGAAGAGTTGAGAAAGAGCGACTGTTTTTAACAAATATTAACAAATCACATTCATTTATTGAGCATTTTGATGTGGATTTTCGATATCCACTTAGTTCTAAGTCTAAGTTGTGATTGGCTTTGATGAATTTGCATAGTTCTTCTGTGAGTTTTTGTTCGTTTATGTAAGGAGTTGCGAAACGAAGTATAAACGGTGGAAACGGGTATCGTGATTGAGCGAATGCTTTCGCTTCAACTGTTAGTATATTACTTGGAGTTCGAGTGATTGTTTTATCAATACTAATTGATGAAGAAGAAGAAGCGGATGCCGTAGGATGAGCAGGAGTCAGAACCTTTGCATCAGTAATGTCTGTATTGATATTAATATTGACGTTATTTGATGGTCCGTCTCCAGAGAAATCACTTGGTAATGATTCAGCTTGTTGTTGGTGGTTGTCATTGATATGTTTTGTTTTCTTTCTACAGTTTCCTGAGTTGTTGCTGTTCGGTGATTGTTCATGATCTTCATCCGCGGAGGCCCCTTTCTCTGAAGGAGAGAGAGGTCTGCGGAGCGGAGAGTTCGTTCGAGATGCATCAGGTTTCAGGTTGTTTATACAAGGTGACGAAATCGTTTGATTAGACGCTGTTCCAGCGTTGGAAAGGAGAGTTTGGTTATTGAGCTCATTGTCCATTAAACTTTGATAAGCTTGTTTGTAAACTTCCGAAGTAGAGTATTTCTCTTGATTGAGCATGGTGTTAGCACCTGAGTTTGTACTAGGACGCTGTCGAGTAATCGATCCTGTGGATCGTTTTTTACTCATCAGGTGAGTTTTTGTAGACCTTAGGGGATGAAAGGCTTGTGCTTTCGTTGATGATGTGTATTGAGAACAAAGACTTTTTTCGTTCTGTTGAATGAATAGTCAGCTGTAGCGATAATAGAATACGTCTTATATGTATAGTGAAATAATTGCGAATGATTACACCGAACATTGGAAACGACTGCTAGCTTGTTAACTGTGATCGACGGATGACTAGTAACGGATGCAGCAGAATGAATGGCGGTCTGTTTATTTTGACTACAACTTTTTCCGCTGTTTTACCGTGGGAGCTGGTTCTTTCACTAAAAGATGCGCCGTCGAGTTCTCTACAAAACCATTATGAAACATGTTCCTATAACACATGATGGAAGAAAAGTAGATGACGACTACTTTCGAGACATAAAATACTCAACTCTCTAAACCAGCATTTATCCTACCGATGTATGACGTATATATGTCATGTATTATTAATAATAGCATTTATTTAAGAGTCCAAGTATATATTTAGGTGCAGTGTGAAAGCTCTACCAGCTGCAATATAAATCCGATTTCATAAATACAGATCTTGTTGTTACACATGAACAGAATCGTGTGCAACAAAGTTCTGATTTTATCAATAAAATCATTCTTTTTTTCGATTAGGTTCTATTTATTTCAAAAAGAACAGTATGTAAAACATTCGTTGTCGGTTCTAGAGTTTCTCATTCTGCATCTTCCGATAGTTTCGATTCTTTTGATACGCTATTTTAGACAAGTAACGCTCATCCTTTGGATTCGCTGACCCTTTTCTGAAAGACTTTTCCTAATGCTGAACACATTCAAAGACTTCGAAAGAGAAAAAATGCACTGCGATTGCTACTGGTGCTCAACTGAATCATGGTACTATGTTACACACTAGAACTAGAATAAATAGGATACAGAGGTCTTTCTAGGAATCAGACCGATTAGCCATTTGTCAGTGGATAATTCTCCAGCACTAACTATGTTGACTGAAAAATTCATCGCTCAACGGCTAGTCAGTCGGCCACTCACGGCCAACCATTGACCTTTGTCATCTGTTTTTCTATTTTCACATCACGCGCATGGAAATTTTCATAAATGCTTTACTAAGTCACTCATACACGGACGATATACAGTAGACTGCTTGAAAAGTGTGAACATTCGCCGGTGTCTTCCAGCGATAAACCGATTCTTTTCTCTCCTGTCAACGAAATGATACCTTGTCGAATATTTTCATTGAGGAATATCCATTCGACTACCCAAAGAAACTAGATAAGAAATTCTTATTGTACGATTTGTTTCGAAACAAACATCTTTCACAGCGCTACATGTGTTCACAATACTGTTTCTACAGTCCACGCGTCTGTAGTTACTAAGATGGAATTCCACTGACGGGTATATCACTTTGTGAACTACTTCTACTAAATTCCCATGAAAGAGCATGATGTATGTAGCCTACAAAGCAAAGATGATACTAAGCTCATATAACTTTTTCGGATTTCTTGAATTAGAAACATTATTATGTACAATGCATTAGATCTTTTCGTGTAAGTTCTTGAGCTACTATCTCTGTACACATGATGTCCGTGAATAGCGTTCAGCTCACCATCTTCTACAAAAGATTTTAGAACAGATAAAGCAAAATATCTCCTTTGTAAAGAGGAAGGAACAAGCCCAGGCTCGGCGAATAAAACAAAATTCGCCCTCAAATTCGAATATCCCGACGGCAGAAATCCTTCGGTCTACTCTGGAGATGGATGCTAATAAGTTGTGGCTAGTTGATGAAAAATTAATAATTAATTAAGCAACACTAACGTCGGATTCGTGATCCTCGAACTCGATTACCCTTCGGTCAACCCTTATAAAAAAAAGTTTTTTTCGCAAAAAAGCGGTCCTTTGATGTAAAAAAATGAAACGAGAAGTTTTTTCGAAAAACTAATCACAGATTCGTGATCCTCGACCTCGATTACGTAAGGTCAATCATTTGCGTATGATCATCATGAAGTTTTCTATGAGTTGTTGAATGCTGCAATCTGATTGGCTTGGACAGACAGAATGACAGACAAACTTTAAGCATTTTGAGCCCAGTATTTAACCGCTGTATAACCCTTTCTTTCAGAAAAGGGAATAAGATTGCATATGATCCAATTGACCGTTCACCAAAATTTATTATAGAAAAGAATTATCTTATAGAAAAGCTGCGCTTCATCTCGTTCAAAGTTGGAACGGTATTTCTAAGGAGTATTTCTAAAATATGTTTTACAAATAAAAATTCGATGTTTTATTAATGATCAAGAAGTTCCATAAGCTCTATAAAGAGTTGGCTTCGTTTGTTCAGAGATGTAGTTTGCCTTCAAGCGGAACAAAGAGAACTCATTCTAGATCGATCTCTACCTATAATAAACGATGTTACATTATCACCTACTCGCCTAGTTTGCTAATGAATTCCATTTTATTTTAGAGACTATCTATCTCCTTTTTTATTAGTTTGTTTTAAATAATAGGTCTACTAAAAGTATAATTCCATACGACTGTTTACCACTTCGCCGACTAAAATTTCATCGAAAGGACTTTTTACTCTCGCTCTCAATGTACTAAATAGATACCCATGACGTCAACTGACAGAGATCCGATCTCTATTTAATCTTTATCTATAATTATTGTGCAACACATTCTATTTTCTGAGAAACCAGTGTGCAGTTTGAAAACTTTATCCTTTTATTTTTATCGGTGCGTCACTTCAAATGCTATTTTAGCCATATTTAGGTATGCATTTCATCATGTTGTTTGATGATTTCTCATTGGCTTTATTTGAGAAATTTCATGCATGTAATCTTTACACAAATACTACTATCGAATATTACGATATAAACGTTACTTCTTTCATTCACAGACACAAAGAGTAGATTTGATAACTTACAAAGTAAAGATTGGTTATTTCGATAGAGACTGTTGTGTCTAAATTCTATGGTAGAGAAAAGAAAAGCTTAGTCGATAGAGGCATAATAGATGTTTACTCTTCGCACGATGATAGATATGTGTATAAGGAAGTACGCAACCTTTGTTTGATTAATATTAATCAATAATGTATTATAAAAAGATTGAAAAGTGAGAGAAATGATGTATTTTATCTTTAGTCAGCATGTTTTGACTGATCCGAATTACCCCAAATCTATGCATTCAATTTTTTGGTGTCAAAACATGGTCTCAATGTTGAAAAGATTGTAATAGGAAAAGATCTTTGGATCGCAAAGATATTCTCAGGTCCCATAGAAACGATGTTGGGCTATCGACTGGTACAATTTTTTTTAATGGAAACATGAATTATACATGAGTTATGGGTTGGGGGGAAAATTTTATCAAATTCCAGTCATACTTGATAGAGTGATCCGAATTACCCCCAACTAGTTTAGCTGACTGATCCGAATTACCCCCAACTAGTTTAGCTGACTGATCCCAATTACCCCAAGTGGGGTAATTCGGATCAGCAATCGGTTATTTGTGGCATTTTCGCCTATACTTTTTTTTTGGTGCATGATATCGACCTGCTTGTTTCACCAGTAGATAGAGATGAATTTAGTCTACTTATGGCAAAAAATTCACGTCCATAATCAAATATTACTTACGAGAAAAAATCAAAACAAAATCGAATTTTAAGCTACTGATCCGAATTACCCCACCTGACTCTATTTGTTATATGGACTGACTCGGTTTCACTTGGACTGAACCTATGTAAATGGAAAACTGGTTCTCTTAAAAACATCTGATCAGAACTGTAACACGTTCGAAGCGCGTCATAGGCAATTATAATCCGCTTAATGTGAAGATCACGATTTGAGATAAATGATAGCACGCTAGTTAATTTATTTCAGAATCTATTTTTTCTTGATACTGCTGGCGAAAAATGAATGATAACATGAGAAAAAAGGCCATATGGCATTAAGAGAAGAAAGAAAGAGAAAACGCGAGAGATTATCGCCGAGAAAGGAATGAAAAAACAACGAGAGAACAGAGAAGGAACGTTTGTCTATAGAAGCATCGTATCAGTACCGATTTTAACAGATACACCGATAGGTTAACCTGCTTTTCTATATAATTGTGGATCATATGTTAAATAATACTAAAAACATTTCTGAATGCGACTATTGTAGGTGTCTGCTACATACATATTTCCAGCGCTGTCCACATAGACACCATACGGATAGTAGAGTAGTCCTGCGGTAACACCGGATGATCCACTCGAACTTCCAACAACTGTGATTCCATTCGTGGCACCGGGAGCCCATTTCTGAATGCGATGATTGCTGTAGTCTGCTACATACACATTTCCAGCGCTGTCCACATAGACGCCAATGGGATAGTGGAGTAGCGCTGCGGTAACGCCATATGATCCAGTCGAATCTCCAGCAACTGTGATTCCACTCGTGGCACCGGGAGCCCATTTCTGAATGCGATGATTGTAGGTGTCTGCTACATACACATTTCCAGCGCTGTCCACATAGACGCCAAACGGATAGTGGAGTAGCGCTGCGGTAACGCCGGATGATCCATTCGAATCTCCAGCAACTGTGATTCCACTCGTGGCACCGGGAGCCCATTTCTGAATGCGACTATTACGGTAGTCTGCTATATACACATTTCCAGCGCTATCCACATAGACACCAATGGGATAGTAGAGTAGCGCTGCGGTAGAGCCATATGATCCATTCGAATCTCCAGCAACTGTGATTCCACTCGTGGCACCGGGAGCCCATTTCTGAATGCGACTATTACGGTTGTCTGCTACATACATATTTCCAGCGCTGTCCACATAGACACCATCGGCATAGTAGAGTAGTCCTGCGGCAATGCCGAATGATCCACCCGAATCTCCAGCAACTGTGATTCCACTCGTGGCACCGGGAGCCCATTTCTGAATGCGACTATTGTAGGTGTCTGCTACATACACATTTCCAGCGCTGTCCACATAGACACCATACGGATAGTAGAGTAGCCCTGCGGTAACGCCGGATGATCCATTCGAATCTCCAGCAACTGTTTCACAAGAAACTAAAAATATATTTGTGAGTGAGGGTCGCGAAGTTTAAAATCTCGTTAAGATAGGTACTTGGCGCATAAGTAGGCACCGGTGTGCGTAGTAATAGCATAAAAGGGTTACGGCTAATGGCGTTTACTCCTCGAGTTATAACCAATTTACTGAAATGTTACTGTATATATTGATATATGGATGAAAATTGAGTAATCGTGGTTCGGGCTGAATTTTTGTTCATAGACAGTACCAAGTGTAGATATCATTCCCTGAAAATTTCAGGTCTATCGGACTCTTCACTCATGTCGTGAACGAAAACTTTCAAAAATGTGCTAGTGTTATACTAACGATTGAAACCGTTCTTCATTTTATGAAATAACTTTTGATATCATGAATAAAGAGTCCGATAGACCTCAGGGAATGATATCTACACTTGGTACTATCTATGAACAAAAATTCAGGCCAAATCGCGATAACTCGATTTCCATTCATATATCAATATATGCAGTAGCATTTCTGTAAATTGGTTATAGCTCGAAGAGAAAACGTCATTGGCCGTAATCCTTTGATGCTTTTACTACACACACCAGTGCCTACGCCTACTTATGCGCTAAGTACCTCGCCTAACGAGATTTTAAAGCTGATGACCTTCACTCGTTAAATTTATCTTTTTCATTTTGGTTTGAATAAGAAGTCTGATCGAAAAGAACATTATTTTGCGAAAGCTTTCACTAGTCTTTACGGATGCTCAAATCCTCAGAACTGTGTTTCAACGAACAGGAAATCTTGCGAAGTTTTCTTTTTTCAACCCTTTCGATCTTCCTTAGTACACTATGAAAGAAAACCGTACAATTATAAACCCTCGGAAAGGGTTGATGGTCGTGACATGAACCTTTTTGGGGTTTGCTAACGTCATATATCTTCTAAAAAACTCTTGTTTTCCACAAAACTTTGAGGGGTTTGTTATACGTTGCATTTTCATAAACCTTTAGGGTAGATGAATGCTCATCTACCCTTAAAAGGTTTGTTCATATATTCATTAGAAGAACTGCAGAAGACAAAAGTGGTTTTCGAGGGTTTATGAAGTTAATAAACCCTTCAAAAGAGTTGACTATTCTGCCCTTTTTTACGACGTATATGTGGCTTCCTTACTAGCCTATCTTAGAGACGAAGAAAATCCAGAGCGCACGAACTTCCGCTGTGCTTATATGGAACAACAGTTGAGGTGAAGCGTACGAAAATGATTTCAAAACAAAAAAAGACAATATATGCAATCAAGTCCACGGTCCTAAAACTGACTCAAGTGTGCATCATCTACTGTGCAAAAGAAAAAATATCATACTGCATCGTAAAAGGCTCTCCATTTCAATATCATTTTCAGAACTTGTCAAGGTTCGCATATACTATGGTATTATCCCGGACTTTTTCTTGGCTTTTTTAAATGGTCGTAGCCTTGCCGAGAACGCCTTATTCTCAATATTTTGTACCCCAGTCTCAATTGGTGCCACATCTAACCAATTATTCTTAATCCTGGTGCGTTGTTTGTGGATCCGCCGAGACAGACAGCAGTAATGATATGATTCTTCTATGCAAAAGCTTCTCTTTTTCGGAACGATTTCTCCTACTATCGTTAGTCATCTGCTGATGGGCATGTATCATACTGAACTTCACATTAAAGCTATACACTTAAAAAAACTGAAGTATGAATCTGCACGAAACCTCGGATACTTTAACGCTACATAAGTGATCTATTTGTTTCAAAGTTTATTCATTCTGAATTCGTCAGTACAACACCATCAAAAGAAAATTATTCACATTCTTAAAAATATTTTTGGTGATTTTTCATAGTTTTTAGCTACTTTGAACCATCTAACGAAATTTAATGTAACCAACCTCTACTAGGCTATCCGCCGACATACACTACGCTGTCGAAAAAGGCGCCGAATAACGGACCATTTTTAGGAATCCATTGTCCTTATGAGTTACAAGAAGGGAATTTTATACGTTGTACTATCGTTTACTCTTAGAAGGTTTATTAACTTCATAAACCCTCGAAAACCGCTTTTCTCTCCTATGGTTCTTCTGAACAGTACATTAACCCACCTTCTAATGATATATCAATGCTCACCTATCCTGAAACATTTATGCAAGTGCAACGTATAAGAATCCCTTACGAAATATATGTAAGACAAGATTTAACAGAGGGCACATTACGTTCGCAAACCTGAAAAGGTTCACACCGAGGCTATCAATCTTTTTCGGGCGGGCGCATAGTTCGGTGCCCTACTAGCAATATATATCATCATCGTTCGAAAAATTCTGTTTACCTAATGAAAACGTTCCATTTGGAGCGTTGTATGAAAAGACTTCTGCAACAATATGTATGGTGGCTACTCATCAACGGTTCTTTTTAACAAGCATCGACGATTACATAGGGTAGTCAATAAGTTCTCGGAATTTTCTATATATCTCTCGAATAATTGTAATTCCTCCGTTTTTTTGCATCATATATTCGAGTTAGTTAGTGTGATATTATATAGAAAGTTTCATCATTCTAGCTGATTCCGTTGATATCTTATTGAGATAAATGTTGANATTACAGATAAGTATACGGAATAAAGCACCTTGGTCGATTATTGTGTGAAGCGAAAGAGAACTTACACGTAGTGCATGTCGTTCCGCCCCATTGGCCCACACAAGTGCAGGCACCAGTCGTCGGGCCACATGTTCCACCGTGTTGACATCCACCTACACAGATCGGATATGAGTGTTCGCCGTAAACTTAGCTAGTGCATAAATGTGTGAAGCGAAAGAGAACTTACACGTAGTACATGTCGTTCCACTCCATTGGCCCACACAAGAGCAGGTACCAGTCGTCGGGCCACATGTTCCACCGTGTTGACACCCACCTACACAGATCGGATATGAGTGTATGCCGTAAACTTAGCTAGTGCAGAAATGTGTGAAGCGAAACAGAACTTACACGTAGTGCATGTTGTTCCGCCCCATGGGCCCACACAAGTGCAGGCTCCAGTCGCCGGATCGCAGCTTCCTCCAGTTTGACAGCCACCTACAAAGATTACAGATAAGTATACGGAATAAAGCACCTTGGTCGATTATTGTGTGAAGCGAAAGAGAACTTACACGTAGTGCATGTTGTTCCACTCCATTGGCCCACACAAGCACAGGCACCAGTCGTCGGACTGCAGCTTCCACCATTTTGACAGCCACCTACATAAATCGAATATAAGTGTATGCCATAAACTTAGTTAGTGCATAAATGTGTTAAGGGAAAGAGAACTCACATGTAGCACAGGACACTCCACTCCATTGGCCTACACAAATACAGGCAGCAGTCGTCGGATCACATGTTCCACCGTGGATGCATGGCGGGGAACAGGTCACTAGGAGACAATATTTTATACGCTGGAAATTGGTTTTCTATATCGAAAGATAAACGGGCGAAGGTGATATAGTGGTGGAGATATGCAGGGAAGCCGAGACCGATGAAATCAATTCAAAGCGTTAGATTTGGCTGACTGGAGGGGGAGTTAATTTGAATGTGTTCGAGGAGACGCCGATTCGGACTTAGCTAGAATTTGCTGTGAATTTGGAGTTGTTTATGAAATTTTGGCACGATTCGTTCTTTTCAAAGGCTAAATGTGTTGCTATTTCAGGGTCATTAAGAATGAATGAAGTGCTGATGAAGATTTCTTTCTACTCGACTATTTTCCATGCAAAGAGCATGAAGGCTTTGTTAAAGGGCCCAAGTTCGATGGATCGCGATTTGGTTCTAGTTGGAGTTAAAAGAAAGTTCAAGAAGACAGAAATTCAGGTCTTATTGAACGGGCATGTATTTGAGCGAAATCCGATGAAATCTGAATCGAGTGGTTTCTATTAATCCCTTAAGGACGGGGTTATTTTTAAAGGAGCAAAGAAGACTTTAGACGCTCTGGCGTATGCAAGAGACAGTGTGTGCGAAGGTAAATAGAAAATACATGACATCAGTGGATCATGGGATAACGAAACAATAGAAGTGATGAATATAACTACAAAAAGAAAAAAGAGGTGACAATACAAATGATAGTGTATTACATTGGCGATATATATAAAGCGGCACAGATCATAAAAATATCGTAAGAAGTATACTCAAATAAATTATGAGTTGATTTCAACCTGGAGGTATATATACGTCACTCGCTCCCAAGAAGTTAAATCCAAGGCAAGAAAAGCGAGACTTCATCGTATTCAGATAGTATTTGGAGTAGAGTGAAGTATTAGCGAAGTAAGACCGAAGTACTCACGTTATACTTACTTCACTCTACTTCATTGTACTTCTCTGTACTTCAGCGATGCTTCAATCGTACTTCACTAATATTTCGGCAATGAAACTACCGGTGAAGTATGCAGTCTCGCCTTCCCCTCTTGATTAAATCTCACTCTAGAATCGGATTAGGTGCACCCGTGGAGTAATCTGTTCTGGTTTTTTTGCGTGAATCGGAAAGCAACTTTTGAGGCAGAAGAAGATCATCAGAATGTATCTGATAGAGGAGTCTGTTAGAAGTTAATTGCTTTGGTGGTGCCTTTAATCGGGATAGTTCTAAGCAGACGTGCGGGTCCAGCTATATTTCAGTTTTAAAATGAAGGAAATTATTCAGTACAGGATGTACCAAAATTATAAACCTCTACTATCTTGTCGAAGAGAATTTAGTTTGTGTTTTGAAAAGACGTGTGTTTGATCATAATACATATCCGTTACGAAGACGACTAGATGTATGGGGTATGAAAAAATTATAGATCCCCTCACACAATCACACAAAATTGCTTATTCTATTTCGACGATAGTCAATATTAATTCGCTTATGGCATGTGGACGTGAGACCGTAAATATACTACCTACCACCCTGCTATCCTATTTCGATTTCCCCCCATAGTCGGATAAAAAATTGGAAAACTAGGAAAATTGACTGTTTCATAAGTATATAGACCATCTAATCATAAATCCATTNCACACAAGCGCAGGCACCAGTCGTCGGATTGCAGGTTCCACCATTTTGACAGCCACCTACAAAGATTACAGATAAGTATACGGAATAAAGCACCTTGGTCGATTATTGTGTGAAGCGAAAGCGAACTTACACGTAGTGCATGTCGTTCCGCCCCATTGGCCCACACAAGTGCAGGCACCAGTCGTCGGGCCACATGTTCCACCGTGTTGACACCCACCTACATAGATCGGATATGAGTGTATGCCGTAAACTTAGCTAGTGCATAAATGTGTGAAGCGAAAGAGAACTTACACGTAGTGCATGTCGTTCCACTCCATTGGCCCACACAAGCACATGCTCCAGTCGCCGGATCGCAGCTTCCACCATTTTGACAGCCACCTACATAGAGCGGATGTAAGTGGTCGCCGTAAACCACCTCAGTCGATTATTGTGCCAAAGAAGAGAGAACTTACACGTAGTGCATGTTGTTCCACTCCATTGGCCCACACAAGCGCAGGCACCAGTCGTCGGATTGCAGGTTCCACCATTTTGACAGCCACCTACATAAATCGAATATAAGTGTATGCCATAAACTTAGTTAGTGCATAAATGTGTTAAGGGAAAGAGAACTCACATGTAGCGCATGCCACTCCACTCCATTGGCCTACACAAATACAGGCAGCAGTCGTCGGATCACATGTTCCACCGTGGATGCATGGCGGTGAACAGGTCACTAGGAGACAATATTTTATATGCTGGAAATTGGTTTTCTATGTCGAAAGATAAACGGGCGAAGGTGATATAGTGGTGGAGATATGCAGGGAAGCCGAGACCGATGAAATGAATTCAAAGCGTTAGATTTGGCTGACTGGAGGGGGAGTTAATTTGAATGTGTTCGAGTAGACGCCGATTCGGACTTAGCTAGAATTTGCTGTGAATTTGGAGTTGTTTATGAAATTTTGGCACGATTCGTTCTTTTGAAAGGCTAAATGTGTTGCTATTGCAGGGTCATTAAGAATGAATGAAGTGTTGATGAACATTTCTTTGTAGTGGACTATTTTCTATGCAAAAAGGAGGAAGGCTTTGCTAAAGAGTCCAAGTTCGATGGATCGTGATTTGGTTCTAGTTGGAGTTAAAAGAAAGTTCAAGAAGACAGAAATTCAGGTCTTATTGAACGGGCATGTATTTCAGCGAAATCCGATGAAATCTGAATAGAGTGGTTCCTATTAATCCCTTAAGGACGGGGTTATTTTTAAAGGAGCAAAGAAGACTTTAGACGCTCTGGCGTATGCAAGAGGCAGCGTGTGCGAAGATAAATAGAAAATAGACGATCATGATATCAGTGGATCATGGCATAACGAAACGATAGAAGTGGTGAATATAACTAAAAACTGAAAAAAGAGGTGACAATACGAATGATAATATATTACATTGGCGATATATATAAAACGGCACAGATCATAAAAATATCGTCTGAAGTATACTCAAATAAATTATGAGTTGATTTCAACCTGGACGTATATATACGTCACTCGCTCCCAAGAAGTTAAATCCAAGGCAAAAAAAGCGAGACTTCATCGTATTCAGATAGTATTTGGAGTAGAGTGAAGTATTAGCGAAGTAAGACCGAAGTACTCACGTTATACTTACTTCACTCTACTTCATTGTACTTCTCTGTACTTCAGCAATGCTTCAATCGTACTTCACCAATCCTTCCACAATGAAACTACTGATGAAGTATGAAGTCTCGCTTTCCCACCTTGATTAAATCTCACTCTAGAATCGGATTAGGTGCACTCGTGGAGTAATCTGTTCTGTTTTTTTTTGTGAATCGAAAAGCAACTTTTGAGGCAGAAGAAGATCACCAGAAAATATCTGATAGAGGAGTCTGTTAGAAGTTAGTTGCTTTGGTGGTGCCTTTAATCGTGATAGTTCTAAGCAGACGTGCGGGTCCAGCTATATTTCAGTTATAAAATGAAGGAAGTTATTCAGTACAGGATGTACCAAAATTATAAACCTCTACTATCTTGACGAAGAAAATTTAGTTTGCGTTTTGAAAAGAGGTGTGTTTGGTCATAATACATATTTGTTACGAACACGACTATATGTATGAGGTATGGAAAAAGTATAGATCCCCTCACACAATCACACAAACTTGCTTATTCTATTTCAACAACAGTCAATACTGATTCACTTATGGCATGTGGACGTGAGACCGTATATATACTACCTACCACCCTGCTATCCTATTTCGATTTCCCCCCATAGTCGGATAAAAAATTGGAAAACTAGGAAAATTGACTGTTTCATAAGTATATAGACCATCTAATCATAAATCCATTTCCTGNGGAGTACCAGCATCATAAAAAAAGTCCTTAAAAAGGTCTGCTAACACCTGATAAATTTCGTCAGCGAGAGTGCACTGTACGAAGAGCTTTGAATGGTGACTTTCCCGCATAGGTATCTGTCCCCGACCCTCCTCTAACGAATGGTGAAAATCGCAGGTCTAAATAACTTTCCAACCAAAAGTTACAAAGATTTCTTCCACCTGCCTTTTATAAAAATGTCGATAGTAGTAGTGGTTCTTTTACCTCTATAGTTGGATATCTGATCTTGGAGTCGTTATCTTCAGCGAGAATGAAACGTGGTGGTCGCTTTCCATTTCTATATTGTTCGCTTCGATATCGTTCACGATAGATTCTCTGCGGTTGTATAACAATTCGAAATTGCTGGTCTGTGTGAGCCATTGAGAAAATCCGAGTTGATTGGTAATTGTAGAGCTATTAAAATGATTCGGCAATGTATATAACAAGAGTCTTGTCTAAATTCAGATATCGAACATTAAATTTAATTAAAGTAAGGCTAACTTTTAGATTCTGAATGGAGAAGAAGCATATGCTAATTGACGAAAATCTCAACAAGTAGTGTCGTACTGAAGTCAATGTCATGAAGAAATTCCGAACTACTCTGAAGCTCTCACAACTATATTTGAAAAAAGATGGATCATGATATAGTCTGCGACTAAATGAGAACAATATTTTCCAAAATAACAATAGAATACTCCTATTTCGGTTCTTTAGAAAGAACTACTAATGCAAGACTAGAGAAAAAGATGAATGTGAGTGGCTTGAAAAGGGCACAACAATGCCAGCATTCGTGTCGTTATTTATAATGTAATGACAGGATGGCTCCTAATTAAATTAAGCTTCTATATCGTAACAACAACTTGTATGCCTTAGAAAAATAACTTAAAACCCAAGTCCAGACTTTCATATCGCAAAAGAATAAGGACTGATAGGGCTATCTTTCTGCGTACACAGTTGTTAGAAATAGCTATGTATGTAGCGAGTAAAAGGGCGGTATGGGGTGTCGTCTTTGTTAGCGTTTGTGATGAATCCCACAACGCTAGACTAAAGACTAAGATGGTCCTTCTAGTCTAACTGGATTAGGACATCTGCCCGGATAGCAGAAGGTGTGGGTTAGAGTCCCACGAAGGTCACTTTTTCTCGATTCTTCTCTCTTTCGTTCTCCTTCGCTGATGTCCTTATAGTTTGAGCTAACAGTCTTATCATACTTATTCATCTGAAACACGAAATCGAGATTTTAAACCCTTCTACCCCTTGAGGAGACAACTAAAGCTTTTTTTCAGAATCCAGTTTTTAAACATATCTAGTACGATCAAATTTATCATGTTGAATAAGAATATCATCATAAGAACCATAAAAATATAACGCCGAAGTAGAGATTGAGTCTTTTTTTTATTCAAAATATTAGGGTAAAATGGACTTAACCCTAGGACTCGCCTACTAGGAAGATTTCAATCTTCACGGGATTTTATGATCACTTTCGAGAGGTTATAGGGGCGTCCCTGGGCTGCTAGTAGTCAAACGTCTGGTCATGAGGCTAGCAATCTCTTACGAGGGAACATATTTAGGTGTTCAAGCAGTTTAGATCCCATCTTTTGGTAGTAAGTAGACCCTAATGAGGTATGAAAAACCTCAAAAGGGTTTGTGTCCTTGTATTGTTGTTGTCGATTTATCATCGTTTTACTCGATTCTTGGCTGGTTGACAGGCGTTTCGATAAAATGCTAATGACACAATTTGAATCGGAAATTTTGTTTATAGATAGGTCTCACCGACACTAGATTGTCCTACAAATATTAGCCGGAATGAATGCCTTCTTCTTTAGATAATCAATTTTAAAAAATCCCGTATTTTATCAATCATTCGAAAAAAACTGATCTGCCTTTGAAATTCCTTATCTCATGAAGGAAATATTCGTTCGGGCTAATGTTTGTAGAACAATCTAGTGTCGGTGAGACCTATCTATAAACAAAATTTCCGATTCAAATTGTGTCATTGGCATTTTATCGAAACGCCTGTCAACCAGCCAAAAATCGAGTAAAACGATGATAAATCGACAACAACGATACGAGGACACAAATCCTTTTGAGGTTTTTCATACCTCATTAGGGTCTACTTACTACCAAAAGATGGGATCTAAATTGCTTGAACACCTAAATATGTTCCCTCGTTAGATGAACCTTAAGCGACCCTTGCTAACGAAAAGAAACATTATAGGTGCGTTAATGCACGAAATCATGCCTTCTTCGGTGGATGGAATGTTAAATCGTGTACAAAGCAATCAGAGAGGGAAATAATAGTCAAACGATTGAAAAATATCAGATACAAATAGCTGCGCTTAGTGAGACGTGTATGTTTGATTCCGGTGTAAAATTAGTAAGCGGCTACCAGATGATCTATTCAAGTGCACCATACGACAGAAAAACACGTAAAGCCCATGGTGTGGCCATCTGTCTCAATCAGATTGCCAATAATGTTGGGAAGGATTCGGGGAGTGAATAGCTACCAATCAATGAACGGATGATTAAAATTCGACTCTACTGTGCGCCATTCCATATAACTGCAATTGCCGTCTATTCTCCTATTAATCCAATAACGAAACAAATGAGCGATGAAAGTGATCAAATTCTATAATGACTTACAAGCTACATTCAATGATTTGTCCACAAAAGACATGATCTTCGTCATGGGCGATCTAAATGCGAAAATTGGTGATGAGCAGCAAAAACGACACCATCACGCGATAAGAAGCTGCATAAGGCCATTTACAGTTGATGCAGAAAATGAGAATGGGATGAGACTTGCTGACTTCTGTGAGATTAATAATTTCAGAGTCGCTAACACATTTTTCAAGCACAAACCAGTGCATCAAACATTGTGGATGCATCCAGGGAATATAAATGGCACACGCTCGCTTACACCCTCGTAAATAAAAAGTTTAGATCAAGTGCTGAAGATGTACGAGTGCTTAAAGGGGCGGAAGCTACAATAGGAACTGACCACCATCTAATGCGTGCCAAAATTAAACTACATCTGAAAACCAGAAAAACGAATATCAACACTAAGCAAGTAAAGGTTGATAGTACCAAGCTAAAAAATGACAAATTACTAAGGTTGCGCTAATTCAAAATTGAAGCAATCTTTTTTTCTTAAATATTTCGATAGATCTTGATGCGTTGATCACGAATGCCACCTTGGTTTTAAAAAAGGGCCTTTCTTTCACAATGAAAATCCACGAATACGAGGGGCGAAGGCTTTTTTCGAAATGTTTAAATACTTCCGTGAAGTATTTGTATCCTCTGTTCAGTACAACATATAGTTCCGAAATTTTTTTCCAACTTCTGCAAACCCAACTGACTCTATCCGTGTGGTTTCAATGATTGAAAAATTTCAAATGACTGAGAAAAATTTTTTTCCCAAAAAAGGCGATTTTTTTCGTGAAAAGCGATATAGTTTTTTGTTTTAAAAGCTAGACCCTTGAATGTTGCGTCATTCGATAGGTCTTGACCCCTAACACAAAATTATAACTCCAGTTTTCCGTTTTCTCCTAACTTTAAAGAACTGTTCTAATTTTACTTCAGAAATCAGAAAATTGGGAAGGTAATTTTCGCTTTTCTTCCTCATTTTTCGTCTGACACAGTTTATATTGATGGCAACTAGGTAAAAAGGGATGCTGATCACGATGGAGTATACTTCAGATTCATGGGATCATCAGCTCGCAAGCAGCTGACCGAAACCTGACTAGAAGATTCTGGAAGACGATTCATGCATATGACTCAGGAAAAGATTAGAGGGACGTTTTGACACTCCTTCGTTCTGTATTATTAACGTCAAAAGTCATCGGAGAATCAGAAACACAAATCTAGATAGTTGAATATTGTATTCTCTATGGCTCTCTTACCTTTCTCTCGCCACAAAAATTTCCTTATATGCCCATGTGTCCTCTTCATACGAAATACACACATTTTCCTTAACTTCTAGTAATATAACAGAAAACAACTCATGCCTACTTTGAACGAAATCACATAACCTTCCATAGATCAGTTATCCTCAATTTCTGTGAACACTTCAGGTAAAATTTTTCGAGCTGATGATCTCATGAATCCGAGGCATACTCCATCGTGATCAGCATCGCTTTTTACCTAGTTGCCATCAATATAAACTATGTCAGACGAAAAATGAGCAAGAAAAGCGAAAATCACCTTCCCAATTTTTTGACTTCTGAAGTAAAATTAGAACAGTTTTTGAAAGTTAGGAGAAAACGGAAAAACTGGAGTTATACTTTTGTGCTAGGGGTCAAGACCTATCGAATGACGCAAGATTCAAGGGTCTAGCTTTTAAAACAAAAAACTAGATAGCTTTTTACGAAAAAAGTCGCCTTTTTTGGGAAAATTTTTTTTTCTCAGTCATTTGAAATTTTTTAATCATTGAAACTACATGGACAGGGTCAGATGGGTTTGAAGAAGTTAGAAAAAAAATTTCAGAACTATGTCTTGTACGGAACAGAGGATATAGATATTTCACTGAAGTATATACACCTTTCGAAAAAAGGCTTCGCCCCTCGTATTTGTCGATTTTCGTTATGAAAGAAAGGTCTTTTTTCAAAAGCAAGGTGATATTCGTGATAAGCGCGTCAAGATCTATCGCAATATGTAAGAAAAAAAAGGAAAAAAAAATGTATGCTTAACTTTTGAATTAGCGCAACCTTATGAAACAGTCAATTTTCCCAGTTTTCCAATTTTTATCCGACTATGGGGGGAAATCGAAATAGGATAGCAGGGCGGTAGGTAGTATATATACGGTCTCATGTCCACATGCCATAAGTGAATCAGTATTGAACGTTGTTGAAATAGAATGAGCAATTTTGTGTGATTGTGTGAAAGGACGTATAATTTTGTCATACCCTGTACTCTTGAAGTCAATGTGACAGACTTAGTATAACCGAATACTTACCGGTGTTGGATACCGATAAAGTTGATATTGTCGAAGGAAAAGAAGTTGTAGATGACGTGATAGATGCTGGTGACAAACTTGATATTCCTAAGAATGCTAATAACCTTTCAGCGATAAATGATATCTCAGCTCGTTTCCTATCTGATAAAATTCAATAAGGAAACACTGGAATACTCTTCTGGAAATTCTGTAAAACTTGTACGAGGCTGATGGAGCTTCCAGTCCATCGGACAATCGGATCCATATGTGCGTTTTAGTCTAATTTTGTTCGGCTCACAGCCAGCTTCTCAAGGTCGATCCTTATCTTGACTATGCACACTAATTTCTCTCACGAACGTAAACACCATATAGACATCAGTGTGATATGAGAGAGAAAACGTGTACAATACATACTATATCACGGTCGCTGAGGGACATAAATAATCACTGT